TCATTTAAGCAAAATACAGAATGGTCGAAACCTGGGCAATAACTTGAGAACGACGCTCGTGTGAGAGTTACAGCGACTGCCAACGTTCGGCAGTCCCTCTGACGTCACTAAAATATCTTCTTTTTTTAGGTATTCCTTCCGTACACACGTGTAGTTCTATGTAACGTCATAATAATAGGTCGCATTTAGTCATTTCAAAACTTCCATTCTCAGGAACATCTTTCGGATGCAGTTCAGCAAACAACGAAAAAATGTTTCGGTGCCTCAATACTGTAAAATTGGCCTTGCAACATTTTTTTTTATACTTTTAATAAATAGTGTTAAGAAATAACCCGTGACGTTGATAGGTTGCGGAAACATCCATTAGTTTTCTTCTAATAACAGATGCAGAAAAAATAAAGGACAGAGACAGCGGTCGATATCTCCTCAACTCGCAATTTGAACAAGCGGCCACGTGATCTGACCCTAATTATATACCGCCAGTGTTCATCACAGTCATGCCCTCGGCTGCAAAGGTTTGGAAAGCAAAAACTTGGGCTGAGCTTCAGATATTGTTAGTGTTGGGCTATTAATTATCATATCTAATTGACATGAGCCGTTACCCGAATGTTTGGCGGTGCTGATTGTCATGATCCCAGGCACTCGACTCGGGGTTATGAAAATCGCTTACGTCACGGTGTCACGTGACTTACGGTGCGAAATCGTGATGTCATGTTACGTCATGCTGTCAACAAGGTTAATACATCTAGTGACTTTCAAATATAAATCTATTTGACGTAGTGAGTCACGTGACGTCACGAGGCCGCGTAACATTACTTGACAACATGTAATGACACGTTGACGTCACGTGACAACGTGACACCTGGTTAATTATAGTGCCAACAAAGGTGCCATGAAAACCCACAATTTATCATACATTGAAATTATGTATATGACGATTCGATCAATAGATAGAAATACGGCCGCCAATTGTTTATTCCCAAGTGCTCATTTTGTGATACTAACAAAAAAGAAAAAATATTACCTTGAACCATTTTGAAGCGGTTACCGTTATATTTTTTTTCGGTTCGGTTCCGGTTCAGTTCCAAGATGGCGGCGAAGATTTCAAATCGGTTCGGTTCCGGTTCGGCTAAAAATAACGGTTCTGTTCCGGCTTTCGGTTCGGTTCCGGTTCGACACCCTGGCTTGAACGCATGTGCCAAGTTCTAGTCCATAAGGCGCGAACTGGATTCGCGCTAACTCCCAAAGTGTTATCCCGACGGGGAAACGTCTACACACCGCCCAAAGGTCGCCCCGCAGCATCCTCCCAACTACACGACACAGCAACAAACGAACCAGAGAGAGACATACACCTGTTGCCCGAATTGTAATGACGCATTGCCCCCAACATTTAAGGTACTTGCCCTGGGGATGTGCAGCACACGAGCTGCTCCGACACAGATTTCATCGTAAACTGCTCACAACCTCCTATAAGGACTCGGTTACCGTAGCAAAATCGAGCGAGCCAAGGCAAACGCTGCTAGATCTTTTAGACATTACCAGACAGACTGGCATCATTCACTGCATCTGAAGCCTACAGCCTGAAGACGACCTGCCTTCCCCTCCCCTCTTTTCGCCTTTCCCAATTAGGGCTGAGGGCTATCCCTTCTAAAATAAATGCTTATTCATCATCGTTCTCATGCGCAATGCTGTTATGTGTCAAGTCACGGTGGGCAGACTTCCTGCCATTGTGCTTTAATTTTTATCCTTGTGTGCAGTGCTGCTACGTGTCAAGTCACGGTGTATGGAGACTTCCTGTTGTTGCGCTTTCACTTTGTATCCTCATATGAAATGTCGATGTGTGTCGAGTCGCAGTGGAAAGAGACTTTATGCCGTTGTGCTTTCGTTATTTTCCTCGTGTGCAGTGCTGCTGCGTGTCAAGCCATGATGGATGGACAGATTTCCACTTTTTGTCCTTTCAGCTTTCATTCTCGTGTGCAATGCCTCTACATGTCAAGCTGCAGTGGGCAGAGACTTCCTGCCGTTGTGCGTCTGTCTTTTATCCTCGTGTGCAATGCCACTATATCAAGTCACGGCCAAAAAAAAAGAAGCTTTTTATAAGAATGTAATATGTGTGCACGTTGGGTGCAATTGGACGTTACAAAAAGTCAAATACTCTGTATTGTAAATAAGAGATGTGTCGTTTTGCCCATTCGATCATATATATATATTTTTTTTTTTTTTTTATTCTACCTTTAAAGGTGCGATGCAACAATTTTCGTATTTTGTGTGAATCCCCCTTGAACAATTTCCTGATGCTAATGACCTATGCAACACACAATCGTTTTTCACACCCACGCAATAGAAGTAGCAGAAAAAAAATTATAAGAAAAATGAGGAACGTCCACATCCCCAACTCGCAGCCAGAACAAGCGGCAACATGATCTGGAGCCGAATATATGCCACCACCAATGTTGAGTATAGCCATGCGTTGAGGTTGGCAAAGCACAGGACACACACTGAGTTACAGACATCGTTATGGTTAGGGTATTGTCGTCATTCCAGCGAATGGACACGGGCCACTACCCAAATGCTTGTTGAGCTATTGATTATCACGAGCCCAAATTGTGTGCTCATGCAATGCTCGGGTCCAATCTACGAGCCACGTTCAAATATCGTCATTGCGGGTACTGTGATCCCCGATTACGGCGTGAAGTTTTGTGAACGAGAGATTAAAAAAAAACGCTCGCTTTTATCCTTTAAATCACACTGCAACAAAGGAATTTCTTGTTTGGTGGCGTTGCATGTGAGTATACTTTGGCCCCACTCTAGTGCCAGGAAGCTTGTGAAAAGTGAAAAACTTTCTAAGAGAAGATTGTTGCACCGCCCCTTTAAGTATGTTTTCTCAATGCTTGCCTGATTAAAATAGACCCGCGAGGACTCTATAGCACGATAGGGACTGCATAGTTAAAGAAACCCGGTTTTCGTCCAGCAGCATTCAATGTGTGCAACTAATGGAATTGTGTATAAAACGTTAAAGACTTAAAATTAGAAAATCGCATCATACGCATAATCACTAGCTATGTCTTTTTTTTTTTTTTGTCCTGTGAAGATTAGGTTATTTTTAAGAACACTGCGGCGGGCAAGGAAAGCAGGTTCTGAAGCTCTGAATCGCGTACCACAACGGCGCAGAAAACTCAGTCTAGTAGCGTCGTAAAGCTAAAAGTGGCGTAGATTTCCATCAAGCACTTACGGCTGATGTGTCTGCGCCCATTACTTTTGCCCATATATATATATATATATATATATATATATATATATATATATATATATATATATATATATACCGGGTGTTTCTGCGAAGACTTTCGAAAATTCTAAAAATTAAAGCGTCAAAACAAAAAAAAAAGACTTTCTTCGGGAACAAACTACCAGCCACGGCGGACGTCAGGAATTGCCAAAAACATAGTAATTAGCCAACTAATTAATTAACATTTGTTAATTAACTTTTTAATTAGTGGAAATAGACATATGGTTCTAATTAGAAAGTTGCTGAGCGTTATCGAAAACCACTAAATCAGCCATTTTCAAAAAGACTTTCGGCGCGTGAGAAGCGTAGTATTGTACTAAAGTTACGACTCGTGGAGCAGGTACAACGCTGGGGCTAGATAAAAGACGGAAAAATCGCGCGGGCGCCTTATCGCAACCGCTAGCTCTGTACCTGCTCAAAGAGCGGTAACTCTAGTGCACTACTACGCTTCTCACGCGCTCAAAGTCTTTCTGAAAACAACTGATTTAGTGGTTTTCAATAACGCTCAGCAACTTTCTAATTGTAACCATATGTCTATTTCCCCGAATTAAAAAGTTAATTAACAAATTTTAATTAATTAGCTGGCTAATTAGTATGTTTTTGGCGATCCCTGACGTCCGCCGTGGCTGGTAGTTTGTTCCCAAAGACAGTTTCTTCTTTTTTCAAACGCCCTAATTTTTAGGATTTCTGAAAGTCTTCGCAAAAACACCCGGTATATGTATGCTGCCTGGTAGAGCAGCCTGATCTTTATCTTTTAGTAGCACGAAGCTGTCAGCAGCTCGCCGGAAAAGCTGGAGGATCAAAAACTCCGTCTCCGAGGTGTATGCTCCGAAGACATCTACACGATGCACACTTTCAAATCTTTCCCACGACGTCGATTCTTGATCGGTATCCAAGCGAGCGAAGGCACAAAGACGCAGCACTTTGGCATGTCGGGGAAGCTTTGATCACGCCGCGAGGCCGGCGAGACTTGCTTTCGACGAGTTATGCCCTTTCCTGCGGTGCGGCGCTTTCGTAAATACGTCCACGTGTTCTCAAAGTCAATTCTCACAGTTTACACAAGGTTTAAAGAAAAAATACTTCTGCGAATGACGACGAACGAGCAGAGAACGTGTTTGCAGCACGCTGCCGCCCAGCCTCTGTAACGCTCCAGAATGTCGACTTTCCGTGTCGCAAATGGCCGTCCAATGGCGCACTCGATCAGTGCCTCACTGTTTATAACCTAGGTCACAAGGCGCAAGGCCACGTGGCATCAAATTTAGCGGAAATGCATGGACAGACGGACGAACGGACAAAGGCTTGTTATTAGGGGAAAAGGGGGGGGGGGGGGGGGGTTCCGTTAAAAAGCAATTCAAGATTTAATAACTTAAAAAAAAGTGTAATATTTTACAGCTCTTCTATTTCCTAGCCTACCGAGCGAGATAACAGCACTTCGAGGAAAAAGATCTTTGAGGCGTATTAGCGCAGCTGTTTCAACGTTGATATTTGCTGTCGTCACGTTATCGGGTGTCCGGCGATACAGTAACGTAATTACGTTTGGACGCTGTAATCGCACTTTGCTGATAAGGCCGCACTAAATAAGAGACCCTGGATTTGTTGCCCAAGAACAGCAGTGCTACGACTGCGCTCACATCGCAGTTGGCTTGACAGTTGTTGCGCATTTCGAGCGCTTATCCGGTGTCTGGATGCGACGGCGCCGAAGGGAGCAGACATGACTGAAGCAACGTGTCCTCGCGGTAGCTCCGAGAAGGAAGCAACGTTCTGGGGCAAGAGGTTTCTCATCATCGTGACGGGAGCGAGCGGAGGCATTGGAAGAGGCATAGCGGTCAGCTTCGCCGAACGCGTCGCAAAGGAGTCGCTCCTGGTCATCACGGGTCGAAACACGGCAGGGCTCGAAGAAACCGAGCGGATGATCTCAGCTCTAGGACGCGACGTCAACGTGAGCATCGAGACCTGCGATCATTCGAAGGACTCCTTCAGCAACTACCAGGACCTCCTGGGGCGAGCGTCGGCTCGACTCCCGGATCCGGAGAAGGTCGTGCTCGTGCACAACGCCGCGACGGTTGGAAACTGTTCCGACTACGTCGTGTCGTACGACGACGAGAAAACAATCGACGACTACTACCGCTTGAATCTAACGTCCGTCATGATACTGACAGCGGCGTTCCTCCGGCGCTACGACTCTGACTCGGGTCCCACGCGAACGATTGTCAACATTTCGTCCTGTTCGGCGATCGATCCAACACGAGGGCTGGGTCTCTACTGCACAGGTGAGTTTTTAAGGCACCTCCAACATTCCAAAGTACGTTATGGGCCTTGACATATGCAAAATCGGACTAAGCAGGTGCCGTTTCCGGGAAGATCACGGCACTCTGGTAGCTGGGTTGAGCCGCGGTCACAACATCATACAAAAACAGTTTGTAGAGACTGTCTGAGGCGTGATTCTTTCTTGTCTGCCATACCAAAACTGTCTTCAGACATTTTGGAAGCATACAAATTGTTGGGTAACCCTTATCCTCTAACCGTCGGCTATCATTCCTGCCCAATGTTCCATCCTTCTTTATCATAATCTTCCTTCTTTTCGACTTCAACCTTGAGCGCGTTACACTCGCCCCGCCCCAAAGAGTTCTGCGTCTCGAATAGCACCAAGATAGTCCCTTTGCGTAAGATATAGCTTCAGCTGACCGGCATGAGTGGGTAACACTTGTTTACTCTTCTGTAGACAAACCACCGAGAGTTCTTCCAGACGGTAGGTGAGAGGTCCAAGTCGTTTCTTCAGCCGGGAGGGTCCACAGTCGCGCGGCAGGAGCTCCTCCTGCAGGAGTGGCAAACGTATTTGCCTTCGCTTTAGTACCAGGGCGGCTGTTTAATATAACGATGCGGCGGCGTCGATACTCGAGCGTTCAGCAAGCATGGACTGCTTGTGCAGGATTGCGAGGTAAGCTTGTCCTCGGGCCTCCCTCAAACGGCGGGCAAAGCCGTAGGTGAACTCTTGGCCTCGATGGGTTCCCGTTGCAGCCATCAAAGAATCTTGAGGAAGGGTAGAAATTAAGCCGTACACGAGCTCAAACGGTATCTGAGAGTACACGCAGCGAAGCGTGTTGGACAGGATATAGTTCACACAGGAGGAATAAAACACTGAAGTGAACGAACGACAGACACTCACAGTTCTTGCAACGAGCAACGACACATTTATATAATGCCCATTACACTATGAACACTACTCAAGTCACATAGGATAGGAAAACGAAAATACTAGAAAAAGACAACAAAAAAGATACAGGTAGGTTAGTTTAAATCTGTCAAGAAAGTGAGAAGAAATAAAGGAGGCTTTCTCTCGGGACGTGTCAGTTCTGCCTGTTACCGTTTATAGTGAAGTGCAGTTTCTTAGAGCGCAGCTCTTAGGCACTCGTTCCCGTGTTTCGCGGCGTCGGCGTCACCGCAATCGTAACCGCGCGCGTTGCATTATGGGATGTCAGAGCCCTATACACCAATTCAATTCGCTGCCAAATTTAGCGAAGAAACTGAATTCATGTGTAGGTCTGTGACGTCCCATAATGCAACACTGCATATTCAGCTTCTGCAATAAAGTTAGGAGCAACGTTATTAAATTACCTCAGAGTAGGAACTGCCCGTAGACGCTGCATGCACAAGTAGTACCCCCCTCACTCACCACGACTCGCCTGTCGTCGCTTGACGCGCCGGACAGCTGCTTTGGTAAATGCAGTGCATTCTATGGGATACATACGTTTTGAAGCACGGCGTCAAGATGGCGTTTCAGCTCTGCTCTATGGAACGCACAGTTATGAAACGAAAATCTAGATGGCGCTTCGAACGACGGCAGGCGGATTGAAGTGAGTGAGGGGGGGGGGGGGGTACCCCCTTATGTGGGAGTTCCGCAGCTGAGTTAATCTAGTAACGTTGGTTATGAGTAAAACTGACGCCACATGACCTAAGCACCAGCTCAGTTTTCCCGCTAAATGTAGCGGGAAATTCAATTGGTATTGAGGTCACGTGACGTCGATTTTCCCGCTAAACCTAGCGGAGAAACTGTATTTCTTCATAGGTTACGTGTTACGAAGTCATGTGTCTAATTTCCCCTCCAAACTTAGCGGGGAAACTGGTGAGAGGAGAGGGTTTAGAGGAGTCGAGTCGAGAAGTGGTGATGAATATCAGTGATTTCGTGGATCACGCTCTGTTCCACGGTGTAGGTGCGGGCGGCGAGGCGATCGTCAAATGAACATTTTTCCAAATTATGATCAGCCGCCTATCGGGAGACCGGGGTTCGAGATTAAGTAGCTTGAAAACAGATCTGCCATCTGCTCGCCTTGGGAACAGAAAGCGTTCTCAAGATTTGTCCCATTCATTCTGCTTCGGTATTTGGGTATTTTCGTGTCACTTTAGGGATTTCTGTAGTGTAGAACGCTGTCAAAACTGCTGGCGGGATCATGAGGTTTAATGTCACAGAACATGTGCATGCGTTTTCGCGGAAACGAAAGCATATATGAAGCCTCGCGCTCGCGCCAGTAACTTTATCAGCGCTGTATACTAGGCATGAAACTTAGTAGAGTAGCATATTATCAAGATGAGCTCATCTGGTTTGCGTTTATTTCTTAGCACTGAATCGTGATAACCCAAACGGTGCGAACACTACGTTGCTGCGGCACGATTCCATGCCGCTGGCCTGACAAGAAAAATATTGTTACGATATAAGGTCATAGCCAACACCGTAAAGTCGAAAACTAAACGTCATAAAATAAATAAGTAAGCGTTGAATCAAAAAAGAGAATCACGAAGCGTCAGTGCCATGGTTGTTGTTGTTTCTTCGAAGTTAGTTTTTTCCACGCGATGAAACGTGACTTTTTTCTCTTCTTTTCTTCAGTATAGGGAGTATTCACTGGCAGCCGTAGCTGTGTCTGTGACTGCTGAGCACGTGCAATCGACGAGCTTCCGCAGTTATTCTGCAGCGTGAATTCTGCAGCACCAAGTTTGCCTGTCTAGCAGCCTATTAGTGTCAGCTCGTTCTGAGCATGCGCTGTAACAAGCGCCGTAAAGTATGGCGTCCAGTGAATATAGGCAATTGCAAGTATGGTGCCCCGGCTTGTGCCCCATAAGTGCAAGCGCGGTCAGCTTGTTCGTGAATATAGCTTTTGCAATCCTGAAAATGCAGGGGCTTTTCCGCACAATCACAAACATGGTAGCGCCTTTCGTGTGTTTACGTGTGTTAACTTTTGAGGATCGTGTGTCGACTTGTGTTAACTTTTGAGGAGAAGGGGGGATGGTGGCCGATAGGGTTAGCGCACACCAGCTCGGAGTACGCGGAGCGAAAGCTCGCGCTGCGGAACCCAGGGATCGCATCACTACTGTGTGATGCACGTTAAAAACCCCAGACTAGCGGTTGTATCGCACTGCCTAAATTGCTCATCTACAGCTGAGAGAAAATCGCCCGCCGAGGCAGACTAGCTTCAGGCTGTATAAACATACACACAACACACATTGCGCCCATGCTAACAAAAACAAAAGCTCCTTCTTTAAAAAAAAAAAAAAAAAAAAAACTAGGGAAACAAGGCTTGGGCACAACATTCAAGATGGCGTATCTGTTTTGGTAGCACGCAATGTAGAACGCAGCAGCGTCAAGCCTTACACGCATGTGAATTACGCATTTCGAAAAAAGGTCAGTTGCTTGTCGGCCGAACTCTTCTCGACCAACCAATTGCCTAGAGCTGCTCGATGAGCTGGTGCTACGTTATCTATGCTGCTGGTGGCTCGGAGCGGGTATTTAGTCTTGGAGGATCCGCTGCCACAATTTTTTGAGTAACTTCTACCGTCAAGCTTTCGCCTATCGATCCTGCCCCATCTTTCGTGATTCTTCTCTCGACTATTGGTCCTTTTTTTCCACTTCAACGTTTAGCTTGTTACAATATGTATGTATGAAGCAAACATACGTGGAGCGAAAGCTTGTGCTGCAGAACACAGGGATCCTGGGTTCAATCCCCACCCTGCCCGTTTCGACCAAGATGAGCATCGTACAAGCGTGCGACAGTGTATCAGTACTGCCTGGTGCACCTTAAAGACCACAGACTATCAGTTGTACTGCCCTGGCTATATTCTCATCTACTGTGGGTAACAATGTCGCCATCATCTGGCAGACTAACCTCCCGCAATATAAACAACAAATGACTAAATAATTTTAAGCATAAATACCTCGAACATGCCTGAATCGCGTCGGCAGATAATTCTTTCGTCGTTTCTGCACCGAACACATGTCTTTTGTATACGATATTTCGAACGAAGTAACTGCGTCGTTACGGCCACTCGATTCACTACCGTGGCTCAGCACAGCGCTCCAAGTGACATAGCGCTCCAAATCTGTGAGAACTACTGCGTGATGTACGTTAAAGTACGCAGACTTGTTTTTGCATTGTAATTGCAAACTTTCACGTCTACAGTAGGTCACCAGACGCCCCATGCGGCAAACTTCCCGCTGACGAAAGTGTCACGTTAAAAGATATACTTTCTTTTTATACTTCGTGTACAATGCTGTCACAGCTACAAGCAAAAGCGTGTCAGTTGATTTTGCTGCTAATGACGCTGGGTTAAGCCACGGGCTCGCACCAGCAGCTCTGACGGCCTTGTACACCCGTCCCTGTGAGAACAGCCACTGAAGAAGCGCTATAAAATTTATCCATTATTCGCACCACGGATCCTAAAAGCACGTTCCTCAGATTACCTTGTCCGGGTTCATTTCCTTACACGACGGTAAAATTTTCCCTAGTTAGAAACTGAAGCACCGGAGGCGCGCTGCCGACATTAGGTGTTAACCAAGCAGATTGCTTCTAAAACCTAAAACATGAATGTGGGTTTGTAAAAGTCGCCGCAGAAGAAAGTCTCGATGTGTTCACTCTTTTGCAGTACCTTATATTGAGAGAGTTTGGCCATTCATTGGAAATTATAGGAAGCAAATAAGGAGCCGCCAATGACCGAGATAGGGCTTGGCGTGTTCCAGGGCGTCTTCACAAGTTCGAATGTGGTCAGCAGAAGCCGCGAATAATTCCCTGGTTGTGATAGCGAGAAACAAAATCAATAAGTGTGTCAGAATGACTCTCAGTGACTGGAAAATATGGTGCACGTGATTTTTCGATCGTGGTCATCCAAAATAAAATTTTAGCAGATTCATTAACGTTATTTGTATGCCAGGCACCAAGGGCCAGGAAAATGTCGTACGAGCAGTCAGACTTCGACCAAGCGAAACCGAAAATTCGAGTGGCATGTTCGAATCTTACATCTTTTGAACGATCATACACGAAACTTCACGTGCTCTATATTTTGAACCATGAAGAGTTGCTTCATTGAACCCTCACGCGCTTTTTTAAATTTCTTCTCGCTCCCAACGCTAGGGAATTATTTTCGGCTTCCGGTTGGCCACCAGAGACCGTCACGCCTTCTATCTGCGTCTCGTGCACGTTAGGGCCCTGCCCGCTCCTCCCATTAACCAAACTCTCTTTATATACAGCTGCGCTCTTTCCGAAAACCCCACGCACCCCATAAAGATGGACGATTAGGAACGCCATCTATACGGGAAACCTATAGATCTCATTATGTCGGAATACTAGGACCGCAACGTGAAAGTTGCTACAACTGCAAAAATAAAACTGTCAAATTTCTTCAATATTGTTTTTCTCCTAATGATTTTCACATCGCCTTACTCCTATAAAAACAGCGCCGCTGTGGAGAAAACAAAAGTACTATACACTAGCTCAAGTTGAGATAATCAGAACAAGTTCCTTCCGCCAAGCCCTCCACTCTTCTGCTTCATCCAGGTTTAACTCTGGTGAGGAGGAGAGACGAGGCAAGGGACTCCCCTCCCCTCCGGCGTTCACTCTGTAAAAGCTGCAAGGGTGGGGTGCTTCGCGGGTGAAGCTTGCCCTGCCCTTTTCAATCTGCAACAGGTAGTTTATCCAAGGAGTATGATAAAAGTATCGAATGACCAGTAAGCGGATGACGTATCACGCGTGCGACGTGCAAGGCCGCGGCGACTGCTTCATGAGGGTACGATGGAAGACTATATTCAATGCTTTCCGTGGATTTCGTTGCGCAGGCAAAGCAGCCCGGGAGATGTACATGAGGGTCGTAGCCACGGAGAACCCGTCGGTGACCGTCTGCAGCTATGACCCTGGATCCGTGGACACAGCCATGAGCAAAGAGACGCGAGATGGCAACGAGGATTGTTCCATTTGCATACAGAGTATGTTCACTTTGTTGTTCAAATATGAAACCTTAATTGATCGACAACTGCATATGCAGTTATAAACTGGGGCATACCCTCCAATATTATAAGAATTCTTCTCAATTCCAAGACGGAGCCATTGAGCGCCGGCTGCCGGGAAAATGCAAGGAGCAGTGCCGAATGGTTACCGATATGGTAGCTCACAGCCACTTCAGGAGTGACCACTTAGTCAGTGCCGAAACTACGCGCTGTGGCCTATCTGTGATAAAAACAACAAACCGCAATGGAAATAAAGAGAAAGAAGGCTATCGGCGCCTAAAGAAACGGGAGAGGGGGGAGAGTAGAGGGTCGACGCAAATGTTCCTTTTTGTCCTTTCCCGCGGGGAAAAAAAAGCGGTTCCTTGTTTTTGGATTTTTACCACTGGGGAATTCTTTGGCGCTGCCTGAGTGGCACATTGCACCCTTCCACGTGCCCTCTTTCCTATTCTTTTCCCCTTGCAGCGGCCACGTTCTTCCGGGGTTCGAAAGGCTTTCTTGAATAAAGTAGGCTTTGACCCACTGAGGGGATCGGGGTTCGAGCGTGTTAGCGCACCGCACCTCGTAGCACGTAGAGGGAAAGCTAAAATGAAATGAAATGAAATGAAATCTTTATTTCCAGAAATTTACTCTAGCGGGCCTCTAGACAAAAAGCTACCAAATGGTAACTTGACGGGGTCTGGGGCCCTAAATCAAAACAAGCATAGCAATCTGGCTGAAAAGCGTTATACATTGAAAAGACTCGTTATACAGCATATGGAGTTTCTCTTATCAACTAAGCATGTACTTAAGTAACAATAAACATAGTAAACAATTGAAAGCGCAGGAACGTTCGGCAGCAAACATATTATGCGAAAGCGAGAAAAAGAAAATGTCATATAGAGACATCCGCATAAGATAAAACACAATTCAGCTCTAGTCAGAAAGTATAAATCTGTTTTCTAGATGGTACCTGTTGACTAGGGATGGTAACATATTGCGAAGTGATTGTAAAGCGTGATTCGTGCGGAAATGAGGAACAGTCCTAATCACACTTGTCTATAACGCGCGAGCGTGCGGCTTTCTCCGGGGAGCGCTATACTGGTGCCGTTCGCGGAAACTAAGCTAGTCACGTGGTGCAACATGGAACGACCCGCTCGAGGGGTGTCCTGCCCACTCTATCAGCTGGCGGCGAACGCCGGAAGGCTGCTCGCAGCACACTTCACGCTCGCTTCTGACCGCTTATTTGACCGTTTATCGCTTGCACGCTGTTGTGAGCATATCAAGTGTTCTTTTTTTCGCATGTGGTCTTTTCTTTTTCCAATTCCCCCAGACGTGGTTCGCATCTGCACATATCATAATGTTATTTTGAGGCCTATTAGATATTCTGTTGCCTTAATTCTGCAAACTTATTTCCTAGAAAATGTGCTCAAAACGTTTTAATGGCTTGAAGGGACTGCGAAAAAAAAAAAAAAAAATACGAGCACACTAAAATATTCGTTTTTAAAGGTTTATTGCGGGGTCTGTTTGTGTAAAATAATAAGGAATACTTGTTATTGCTACCACGATCCTGTGGATAAATAATTGTTTGGAGTTCAATAGTGGGTGTATGCGCCTTTGTGCAAGATGACACTGTTGATGCGGCGAGGGATGGATCCGTAAAGTGCAGGGCAAAGTTATCCGTCTTCCCGCAGTCGTTGCCATTCCTCCGAAACAACCGCCCAAAAGGTGTCACGCGATGAGTCCCCCAGTGTCTTCTTAGCCAACCTTTTTTTCAATATGCCCCAGACATTTTCAATGATATTGAGGTCCGCGCCGCACGGTGGCCATGGAAGTTCTGTGATGCAACGCTCCTCTAGGTAGTCTCTGACAACCTTTGCCTTGTGGACGGGGCTTTGGTGATGTTGAAATTTGAAAGCGCCGTCCGGAAAGGGGCCGTCAATTGCATAGGGCAGCATGACATAGTCGAGAATGTCGACATATTGTAGTGCTGTCAGGCTGCCATCAATTCTATGCAACGGACCAAGTCCGTGTGGAGAAATAGCGCCCTACACACTGACTGAAGCTCTGCCACTAGCAGCGATTGGTCTTACGTATGGTGGATCATATCTGCAAAAGAAAAAATAATGAATTAAAAATGCGATCCCTCCGTGATAGTTGCTGAGACGGCTTGGTTATTTAAAGAAAGTTAGGAGCGCTATATATATACAACGGGCATGGTGGTGGGAGGCAGAAGGCGTAGGTATAACAAAGTAAAAAACCCTCGGTGAAAACAGCAACAACGGACCGGCCTATATCTTCGACGTTTCGGCCGGAGTCCGGCCTTCGCTGGACTTCCGGAGTCCAGACTCCACCAGGATATCCGGCCTTTCGTACAAAGGCCGGACTCCGGACGAAACGTCAAAAAAATAAACTCATTCGTTGTTGCTGTTTTCACCAAGGGTTTTCTACTCCGCTACATGAAATGGTTTTTATATAATCAAAACGACAGTTTGAGATCTGAACGACCCTCTCTCGATTCCAAATTTTATGAAGATGCTTGTGAGCATCTTCACAACTTAATTATTGCACCATTAAACATTACGATGACGCTTTATTGGGTTTTGGTGAGGACACCTACTGCGATGCACCCCTGGGGCCTCGGTTTGCTACTTTTTTTTTTTTTACTAACCAAAGTGTTATTTATTCGAAAATCATCAAACAATTATTACTAGTGAAAAGAATGCACCTTGCACTCTAAAAGCTCATCTTGTCAGTGGAAAATTCGTCATCACCAGTTTGTCAATGAGATGTGCAGTTTCGCATTATAATTGTTGCCCCTTTTTTAGAAGCACCTTGCGTATAGCCTGTTCGAAGCATCGTCAAATATGAATGCATTTCGAAGTAAATAGATTTTACGGAGGTATAACCTGGCACAGGCTGGCCTCCACACACTCTGTTGTTGGTCCCAGCATGTGGTGAAGCTGGACTCGTCAGAAAATAGCACCTCATTCCACTCGGTCGAACCCCAAGACACGTGCTCTTGCGCAAAGAGAAGTCGCTGGTGTCGATGGCTCTCGTAAAGACGTGGTTTCTCGGCAGCTATGCGGCAGTGGAGGCCTGCACCCCACAACCGTCTTCGAATGGTGCTTACAGAAATGTTGAGGTTTAAAAGCTTCCTAATCTCTGAAGCCGACATAAACGGATCATCCACGGCGGCGGCGACGATGAGCAGGTCTTCATTCAAAGCCGTACACGAAGGAGGACGACCCCGGGGAGCATCGTCAATGCGGCCTTCGTCCCGGTACGCCTTTATGATTCGGTTGACCGTCACTAGAGACAGGTTTGTCTTCGATGAGATGTGTCGCTGTGACAACCCTGCTTCATTCATTCCGACTATCCTTGTTCGGACGTCTTTTGGCACTCGTGGTGTCATTGTCAGCGATCAGTGCTTTTTTCCCGTAGGATTCTCTCGATGCTAGGCGCAATCCTGTTGAATTCGGTCCATTGATATACTTTTGTTTTTTGCAGAGTAGCAAGCCTTATGCGAGCTTGATAAGCGATAAAAGTAAAGTTCTTATGATATATTTGTTTTTGTTTTTTTATGACGACATCGTTGATAAGCCTTCATGCATTAGTTTGTTTATTTTTCGAGCAATGATGTTTGCAAAAAGCGTGCGAGCAGCCTTCCGCGTTCGCCGCCAGCTGATAGAGTAAGCAGGACACCCCTCGAGCGTGTCGTTCCATGTTGCACCACGTGATTAGCTTAGTTTCCGCGAATGGCACCAGTCTAGCGCTCCCCGGAGAAAGCCGCACGCTCGCGCGTTATAGACAAGTGTGATTAGGACTGAACATACCATATTTGAGAGCCGCGCATACTGATCGAGATTTTCTTTTTATTAGTCAGAGGCGCGCCAAAGAAATTCAGTGAATTCATTTGTTCCGAAAAGAAAAGCATACAAGAGACGGTGCACGTGCATATTCGTAATGACAATAATATTCAATTTTTCAAACAGCGGTTTAGTGTGGTATAGGTAGTGTACATCCACGATTATGCGTAGTATCTTTTATCAAAGTAACAGTGTTCTGCTTAAATTTCAAGTTGTTGTGCCCCACACGAGGTGACAATAATTTATATGAGACCAGAAAAGAGCATGATAAATCACGAGTTTAATGTTATTCGGCAATATTGAGCGCTGAAGCTCCTGAGTATCCTGGGTTCAATGCCCACCCTTGCCCGTTTCGAAATGGATGAGCATCGTACCGGCGTGCGGTCGTGTATCCCTACTGCAGGGTGCAACTTAAAGACCCCAGGCTGGCATGGTACTGCACTGGTTAAATTGCTTTCTCTACTCGGTAACAATGTCGCCATGTTCTGACAGACCAACCTCCTGCTGTATAAACAACCAACGACTAATTTGACGTTTCTTTTGTTCACTTATTAATGTGCTTCCGGCCCGCTATAACCCACCACAGCTCCGCATGCTCAATCATATTCGCAAGCGCGATCGTAAAACCTCGGTTTTGTACCCCACTGTGGTACCGGAGTGCGGTCGTGTATCGCTAGTGCGTGACGCACATTAAAGACCCGAGGCTAGCAGTCGGACTGCACTCGCAAAATTTCTCATCTTGAGCGTAAAATAGTGTCGCTGCATTTTTAATGCAGACCGGTCTTACGCACTATAAACAGAAACGTCAATACATCTTTTTTTTTTTATGGAAATGATAGGAACGCACTTTTAATGCGAGAGCATTAACCGTCTCATGTCCCCTCAGGGGGCACCTGTGAAAGCAGGTGTTTGGTGAGTGGCGTCACCACGGACGCCGAGCCATGCGGGTTCGCCCGCCCACGTCTGGCTCTGCGTGGCTTTCCCGTGTCAGGGGAAAAGGGCATCCTGGTGGTTGAGGTGAGACCGGGGAAGGTTTGGACCCTTCGGGGCCCCCCGGGTGAGGCAATAAACCACTTCGGCCCCTGCTTCCCGTAGACGGGTGTCCTGGCTTGGCCAGACCAGGATGATTCAGCC